CTCGGTGCTTCTACCCGTTTAGGGTGAGAACACGGGAGGAGACCGGCTCTACACGTAGGCTATAATATCTAGCGAACGTGTTAGGTGTCGCCCAGCCCGCAGCTCTACAGATATCTGTTAGCGAGGAGCCACGTGCCAGCGACCAGGAGGATGCAACGCCTCTCGTGGAGTGTGCATGCAACCTGAGCGGGCAGGGCACGCCTTGAGCTTGGTAAGCCAAGGCGATGGCATCCACTATCCAGTGGGCCATCCTCTGCTTGGAGACAGCCTTTCCCCTCTGCTGGCCTCCGTAACAGACAAAGAGCTGGTCTGAGGTCCTGATGCTTTGAGTTCTGTCCACGTACATACGCAGAGCGCGAACGGGACAGAGCAAAGCCAGGGCTGGGTCTGCCTCCTCCAAAGGCAGCGCTTGCAGGTTCACTACCTGGTCTTTGAAGGGAGTGGTAGGAACCTTGGGCACATAGCCAGGCCGGGGTCTTAGTACCACATGGTTGTCACCCGGCCGGAACTCTAGGCACGATTCGTCGACCGAAAATGCGTGCAGGTCTCCTACCCTCTTGACAGAGGCCAGTGCAACCAGTAGCAAAGTCTTCATGGAAAGAAGCTTTAAGTCTACTGACTGCAGAGGCTCAAAGGGAACATCCTGAAGTGCTCGAAGCACCAGGGAAAGATCCCAAGAGGGTATGGAGGGGGGTCGAGGAGGATTTAATCGTCTCGCCCCCCTAAGAACCTGATGACCAGGTCGTGCTTCCCCACTGTTTTGCCATCTATGTGGTCGTGATAAGCTGAAATAGCGGCAGCATGTAAACACGTCTCGTGGACGGCGCCCGTGCTGAAGTGATGGTGTTAAGTACCTCAGGGGGTAAGTCACCTAGAACCTCCGCGTCCCGTCCAGGGACCAGACATGGAGTTTCCAGAGGTCTGGACGCGGGTGCCATAGGGTGCCCCGTCTCTGAGTCAGAAGATCCTTTCTCAGAGGAATGGGCCAGGGAGGGACTGTCCCAAGGAGCATGAGTTCTGGGAACCAAGTCCGGGTGGGCCAATAGGGAGCCACCAGAAGGACCTGCTCCTCGTCCTCCCTGACTTTGCACAGTGTATGTGCAAGTAGGCTCACTGGGGGAAACGCATATTTGCGGAGGCCCCGGGGCCAGCTGTGTGCCAGTGCGTCCGTGCCGAGTGTTCCCTCGGTCAGGGAGTAAAACAGCTGGCAGTGGGAGGTCTCTGAAGAGGCAAACAGGTCTACCTGAGCCTCTCCGAACTCTCTCCAGATCAGCTGAACCACCTGGGTGTGGAGTCGCCATTCTCCCGGAAGCACAGCTCGTGATAGCTCGTCGGCCACACGGTTGAGCACGCCAGGGACATACATGGCTCGAAGCGACCTCAGACGCTTCTGACTCCAGAGGAGGAGATGGCGGGCGAGTTGCGACATGCGACGGGAGCGTAGACCACCTTGTCGGTTGATGTACGCCACGGTCGCAGTGTTGTCCGTACGGACCAGCACGTCCCTGCCCCGTAGCGGCCTTTTCAGGCGGCTCAGAGCGAGATGTACTGCTAGCAACTCGAGGCAATTGATGTGCCAATGCAGTTGGGTAAACGTCCACACCCCTGACATTGCATGCCCATTGTACGTGGCACCCCAGCCGGTGGCAGAGGCATCTGTGAAAACCACAGCATGCCTGGAGACCTGTTCCAAGGGGACTCCTGCCCGAAGGAACGAGAGGTCTGACCACGGGCTGAAGGTCTGGCGGCAGGCCGGTTCGATTGCCACCCGGTGAGTGCCATGATGCCACGCCCATCTCGGGACTTGGCCGTGAAGCCAGTGCTGAAGCGGTCTCATATGAAGCAAGCCGAGCGGAGTTACCGCTGCTGCCGCTGCCATATGCCCCAGGAGCCTCTGAAAAAATTTCAGTGGGACCGCTGTCCTGCCTTCGAACGTGTTCAAGCAGTTCAGCACCGACTGAGCGCGCTGCTCTGTGAGGCGCGCTGTCTGTGCGACCGAATCCAACTCCATAGCGAGAAAAGAGATCCTCTGCACAGGGGCGAGTTTGCTCTTTTCCCAGTTGGGTGGAGGCAGCAGTGGAGGCATCCTCTGGGTGGAGGCAGCAGCTGGCCGCCGTGGCAGGATGTGTTTGATGGCCTCCGTCTGCTTTTGTACAGCCGAGAACTGCTGGGCGAAGTTCTCGACCGCGTCGCCGAAGAGGCCGGTCTGGGACACAGGGGAGTTGAGAAACCGGAGTTTGTCAGACTCCCTCATGTCAGCCAGACACAGCCAGAGATGGCGTTCCTGGACCACCATGGTGGACATCGCACGACCCACCGACCGCGCGGTCACCTTCGTCGCACGAAGCGCGAGGTCCGTCGCGATGCGAAGTTCCTGAAGAACTTGGGGATCGTGACCACCCTCGTGCAGGTCCTTCAGTGCCTTGGCCTGATGGACCTGCAACAACGCCATGGCGTGCATGGCAGAGGCAGCTTCCCCACAGGCCTTGTAAGCCTTGCCGGTTAAATCCGACGAGTACTTACAGGCCCGGGAAGGGAGACACGGTTCTCCAGGCCAAGTGGAGTTAGGGCACAGTTGCATAGCAAAGGCCCGTTCCACTGGCGGGATGCGCGTGTATCCCTTAGGTGCCCCGCCATCAAGGGTGGTGAGGGAGGAGGAGCCACCGGAACGGTTTCTGGCAGTAAAAGGTGCCGTCCACGTTCCCGTAAGCTCCTCATGCACTTCCGGGAAGAAAGGCACTGGGGTGGGTTGCTGAGAACCAGCGCGCGCCACCCCGAGATACCAATCATCCAACCTCGAGGGTTCGGGACACGGTGGAGGATTCCACACGAGCCCGACCCCGTTGGCGGCCCGGGAGAGCATGGCCATCATCTCCGGGTCCGTCTCAGGCACCGCTGGCACCCCCGAAGGAGGCAGCGGTGCCGAGTCGTCGTCCGCAGAGAGGTCTGACCCACCCTCCGATGCAGCGATCGACATCTGGTCACTGGGAGCCCCAAAGGAGACAACCGGTACACACCTCGAGGATGGTCCAGCTTTCTCCAATGGAAGCTCAACTGGCTGCGGAGCATGAGAGGGGTGAGGGCTCCTAGGGGGTTGGTTCCCCGAAGGAGACGCGCTCACCGTGATCCTCAGGTCACCCGCGCCCCCGTCCGAAGCAACCCTCTGAGGAGGATTGGAACGAGGCAGAGGCACGGGGACTCCGCCCCTTTGCAGGAACAGGAGTCTCGACCGTAGCTCCGCGATGGTCATCTTCCCACAATGGGTACATGACTCATCCACAAACGCTGCCTCAGCGTGTTCAATGCCCAGACACACGAGGCAGCGTTTGTGACCATCCTGTGAGCCCAGGTAACGACCACATCCAGAAACACACAGATAGAAAGTCATCTTCTTTTTTTTTTTAAAGACGCTCTCTATCTGTGTAAGCTCTTTTAGGGACTACTCTCACTGGTGCTGAAGCACGCAGGGGAACAGTCACTGCGAACACAGACGGGAATGTGCACCCGTCTGTGCGCTGTCTCTCTCTCTCGCTGGCAGGTCTTACCAGCTGTGAGAACAGCCTTTGAGCGCTGAACTGCGCACCTTACCAGCTGTTAAAACAGCTTTTTTGAATTTGCTCAAAAAAATAAATAAATAAAAGACAGAGACAGAAGAGAGAGGACACAAGACTGCTCGCGCTGCCGTGCTGTAACGCCCGCACCAGATAAGGAAAGATCCAACGAAGGCTTGCCAAGTTTTCACACTCTGTAGAATTACCATGAAGCGTTTGGCTCCGAAGCAAAAGGCTAGTGTGCAATCATAACAGCTGCTGTTAAATACCCGCGCTGACGAGGACGCGCAGCTGATGCAAATGATTGCATGCCAATGTGCATTGGCTTGTTTTAGTTTCACTCGAAGTAGATTGGCCTCTCTAGCGAGATTCCTATTGGTCAGTCTGACCTACGTTGTAGTGACTGACCGATAGGGAACATAGTATTGAATGGCCAGAAGTGAAAATGCAAAACAAGAAAAGTAAGCTATGAGTGCTTTCTCACTAGCGGTCAGGGACATCAGCCCCATAAACATCTGCCATTTTTTCCAGACCTCCACACTAAGGGGTCAAGGTCTTGAAACAATCGGCTTGTATCAATACTCCCTCTACGTTACGTCACTTGACCTTTCTCCGGCCAATGTGATGGCTTGTTTTCCACACGTGCTACAGACACCAGCTCACGCAGAACTTTTCCATAGTGTTACCGTCACAATGCAACATCTCGTTCCCTCTCAGAGAATCGTTACACGCGTAACCTGAGACGTTCTTCAGTATTTTTAATGTGTACACATCTTTAAATTTTGCTGTCTGAACAAAAAAAACTTTAAGATGTTAAAGTCACCATGAAATCAAAATGTACATTTCTTAGTTTTTTTTTTACAGAATGTTTCAGTGTACATAATAAATTACCCGTGCACATCATTATTTTTTATGTGTAGTCATGATCTTTAATCAAAAATATTAACGTCCCCTTCCCCTCGCAATGACATCTCTAATGACATGAGCAAGGACCTGGCATTAAGGTTTTCCAATAGCCAGATGAGTTTTAAAACCTCTCCTCAAGCAAACTGTCCCTAACATGAAACAAATGCTGCAATTAGCAAATGACATCGATGTCCTGATGGAAAAAATCAGGCCTTGTCCCATATTAAGTCGCCTCACTCAGTTTTTGTTCCATGCTGACTTTAAAAAGAGTTTCAGATTGTTTCTGATTCATTTGTCAAGGTTAGCACATTGCATTGTAGGATACAGCATTTCATACAGTGTATCCTGCACATTTTGGAAATGTAGTAGCCCATGCTGATATTCCATGTATACAGAAAATTTACAAGCACAGTATGCATATTGTATACTAGAAATATAATATAATATAGTGTGGTTGTGTTCTATAGCAATGTGTTCTATATATTTTAAAAGCATATTCTAGACTAGAGCACTAGATAGAAAACTGTGCATGCAGTGAACTACCTCTTTGTGTACTTGGCAAGAACAGGGTTGAGCCTCTTAAAGTAATTTGGGGCGTACACAATAACCTCCTCACTGTCTATAATAGGAACACCAACTGTATCCATGATCTTGTTAGTAAAGAGCGTCCAGTTGAACACCTGAATAGGAGCAGTGCAGAACAAAATCTGTTATTTAATTTATATGAGGATAAGAAAAATAATACTGTTCATTAAAGATCAAATGATATATATTATAGGAAAACTGCATAGATATTTATGATAAGGAATTGTATGCAGTAGCATGCAAGTTAACACTTTTTTTCTTCTTCTTTTTTTTTTTTTTACCCTGGAATCAAAGTCCAGGGTGAAGTTGTTGTTCAGGGTCTCCAGAGGCACCTTGTTATAAAGCAGAACCGGGTTGTTTCTGTCCTCTGGTGTGTCTGTGGCCTATGGCGACAGGGAGAGCATGGATTTCAGTGCATTTCCTGGGATGCAAGGAGATTCAACAGGTTTTTGTCCAGTTTTCTTCTGCCATTCCAGTCCCTCCACTTTATATATACAGAGCAGCCCAATCCCCTAATACTATAATTTATTTTATTTTTTTATTTGTTTCTTCCCATTGTTTCAATAGAGAATCAAATCTAGGACATGTAACCTTGCTGTGTATACTCCTCTGAACCAAATCCACCGCTGTTGCATAAATCCATATGCCACCGTTGGGATTTTTACTGAGCATGAGCATTTAACTGGATTATTATTGTCAAGAAGAATGTCTCAGCAGCAGTGTGGGTCAGACTTAAGCTCCAACACAAATGACTAGGCCTGTAATGCATACTGTGTAAACTGTAAAGGAATGAGCTCACTATCATAAAAGGTAAAAACCTCACAAGGAACACTGAGCCAAAGTTGTGCTGTACAGCCACTCTAGCAAATTGTTTCAGTGTGGAGCACAAACACAACATATGAGTGAAGCAAAGAAACACACTGTTCCTTGGGCAAGTTCAATAAAGTTTCAAGTAACTCCCTATTATTTTCCATATTTAGCTTTAAAAAAGCCCAAATGTTTTCAAATGTTCAAAGGGTACAGTAAATACTGTATTTAAAATAAAAAAATATATATATATTTTTGAATGGTACCTCTCTTTCTAATAGAGTTTTATTCCAATCTTTGTAATATTCAATTGAACTTCAAAACCTTGTCTTTCTAGCCCCTGGATTTACACCACATGGTCAAAAGTTTGTGGACAACAGTTTCATGGTCTTAGGCTTGTTCGACTTGAACCGGCACTGCACAGACCGATCAGTTTATGACGTCAAAGTACCGCGAGAGCGATTCAAAAGCATACAGAGCCGACTGCTCTCAAATCATTCTCGCTTACTTTGATGTCATACACTGATCGGTCTGTGCAGCACCGGTTCAAGTCGAACAAGCCTCTTGTCTCATTAGGTGTGTTCGACATCGGCTGCGGCTGGATGTAACCGATCGGTGAGAGTTGCCGCGTGCAGGCGGGGAGGAGCTGCAAACGGAGACGTGAAGTCGGACACTTTCTGATTCCCGTAGTGACCGCTCACGTGGTGTTTGCATACTTTACCACAGCTGAAGTGAAATAAATGCAATATTTGCCAAATACACAGATATTTCAGACACATTTTCATTCAATAGTTTATTACTTCATAGGCTACAGCATCTGTTTGAAAGTTTTTTTAATCAGTTTTATTTTGATAAACATGACACAACATCGCGACTACATGAAAAGACTGTTTACTGTTATAAAAAACTGATTTGTGAGCTTTAGTGGAACTAAAGGTGTGAGAATAAACACGAAACGCACGTGATCGTTGTCATGCGGTGAATCCGGCCAATCGTGGAACAGTTGTGTCGTCATCAGAGCTTGTGCAGCTGCTCTTGAGAAGCTGCGCTGGGGGAGGAGTCCAAGATGGCTGCCTAATCAGACGTGTTTGTACGAGCTCCTGCACCATATGTGCTTAGATAGTGCAAAAAGGACCTTTAATTAATTATATACTGCCTGTATGCAATTTTGTTGCTTCTTTGATTTGAAGATTACCTTTATATAGTGTCACCATGGGGCGTAAACGTGGTCATTCGAGCAACTCTTCGGCTTATGCTAAGGAGGCTAGCGTTAATGCTAATGCATGCTCACCAGCCAGTAGCCGACATGATTACATTGTTTCTTGTGCAAGCGAGGAAAATGCGTTCTGTTTAGTTGAAGAGCAGTTCCCTGCTTTGCCTATCACACCGAGTAAATCACCGGTCATAAAGAAGAAAGCAAGTGACGACACTTGAGCTGATATCTCGTCGCAGCTATTAGGCATAACTCAGCTGATCAACAGTCGCTCAGACGGAATAGAAAAAAAGATCTCGGACATGTCAGCTGAATTAAAGGCCGTTGTTGAGAAGGTTACTACTCTTGAGCGGCGAATGGATGGTGTTGAACGACCTGTGGCTCAGTTGCAGCGGAGGATGGATGATATGGATACATATTTGAGAAGACGTAATTCGAGGATATCTGGGATTCCTGAATCTGCGCGCGAAGATATTCGGCTTGAGGTTGTCAAAATCTGCCAAAATGTTCTTCCTAGTGCAAAGGACAAACTCTCGGATGTTATTGACGTGGTCCATCGTCTCGGGAAGATGCAACAAGGAGGCGCGGATCGTCCCAGGGTGACCATTATGCAGTTCTCCGTTCGCTCTTACAGAGACGCTATCTGGAAGGCAGCGAAGAATTCTTCCTTTCTGAAAGACAATGGTTTGCGCTTTATGGAGGATTTTTCAGCCGGAGATCGGGAAAGGAGAAGGAAGCTGTGGCCGGAGGTCCAAAAAGCACGTGCGGAGGGGAAGACGGCATACTTTGTTGGAGGCAGAGCTTTCATTCAAGGGCAGGGTGAAATCATCCTGTCTACTTAAAGGTTTAGTTCACCCAAAAATGAAAATTCTGTCAGTAATTACTCACCCTCATGTTGTTCCAACCCCGTAAGACCTACGTTCATCTTCGGAACACGAATTAAGATATTTTTGATGAAATCTGAGAGCTGGATCACTCCTCCATACTAGTCCATAGGCTTCTTCAGGGATTGAACTTGCCAGCCTCGAAAAGTTATTAAAGACATCGTTAAAATAGTCCAAGTGACTACAGTGGCTCAATCTTAAGTTTATCAAGCGACGAGAATACTTTTTGTGCGCAAAACCCCCCCCAAAAAACGACTTTATTTCAACTATTCATTTCCTTCTCTGTGGGCCTCGAGTCAGTTCACTAGTGTAATAGCGTAAGATTCTGTTGTTGTACGTCACACGCATCACCCACATGACCAGCGTCGGCCAATAGTGAGCCTACGTGTGACGTAGCTCTACGGAATCACACTACGTTAACTGACTAGAGGCCCAAAGAGAAGGAAATGAATAGTTGAAATAAAGTCGTTATTTTTGTTTGTTTTTGCGCACAAAAAGTATTCTCGTCGCTTGATAAACTTAAGATTGAGCCACTGTAGTCACTTGGACTATTTTAACGATGTATTTAATAACTTTTCGAGGCTGGCAAGTTCAATCCCTGAAGAAGCCTATGGACTAGTATGGAGGAGTGATCCAGCTCTCAGATTTCATCAAAAATATCTTAATTCGTGTTCCGAAGATGAACGAAGGTCTTACGGGGTTGGAACAACATGAGGGTGAGTAAATACTGACAGAATTTTCATTTTTGGGTGAACTAACCCTTTAAAGTGCTTTCATCTTAATAACAGGCGTCGCCTGGTCTGCTTGACTGAGCTGTTAGGTGCACTTTGTGGACATTGATACGGGTTTGTTTTATACATATAAGAAACTGCCAATATTTTTTCATTACAGTGTTCTTTTTGTAATTTTTGATATCTAACATGGTGCTGCTTTTTTCAGCATTTTTGATTTTGTGACCTACTTTCAAAGATCTAAGTCCATAGATTTTTCTTAAAGCGGGTTAATTGTTCAAGTTTTTGTGAATTTAAATGTCTTTTTCTGTTGTGTCTTTAAACGCCAGGGGTTTAAGAGATGTTGTTAAACGCAAGGCCTTATTTTTATTTTCTAGACAGTTTGGTTCTGATTTTGTTTTTTTTCCAAGAGTCTCATTAATGATAAGGATGTTAATTTTTGGAAGTCGCAGTGGGGTAATGAGATATGGTTTTCTCATGGTTCAGAGCACTCTGCAGGCGTTTCCTGTTTAAAAAATAATTTTGCAGGTGAGGTGTTGCACACGTACTGTGATGAGTATGGACACTTTATTTTGTTACTTCTAAAATGTTATAATATAAGTCTTATTGTTGTTAATTATTATGGGTATAACTCTAGATCTGAGAATGATCAGCTATTATTTGTTTTGGAAGATAAGCTTACTTATTGGCAGTCAAAATTTCCAAATGCTTATTTAGTGATTGGTGGTGATTTTAATACTGTCTTAAATGAATCTCTGGATAGGTGGCCACCTGGTCGCCAATCAAACTCAAACACAGCTTTGAAAGCTTTTATGCATAGATTTGAGCTTGTAGATATCTGGAGGGTTAAAAATACATATGACAGAGAATACACGTGGAGCAATAAAAACTCATCTAGACTTTCGCGAATTGATTTTTGGTTAGTCTCTAGAAATTTGGATAAAGATCATATTTCTGTTGATATTTCTACAACGCCATTAACAGATCATAAGGCTGTCTCTATTAAATGTATGTTTTCTCCTGAAGCTAGATTTATCAAGGGCTCTTATTGGAAAATGAATAGTTCGTTACTTAATCATAATGAGGTTAAGTCAGAGCTGGGAAGACTTATTGGCTTTTATTGGAGCAAAGCTAAACGAGAAAATCATTTTGGCTTAAACTGGGAATTGTTGAAATATGAAATTGGGAAATACCTCAGAAAGTTTAGTGGTAATCTGGTTAAATTAAAACGTCTCGAAGAAGTTAATATTGTTAGTGAAATCTCTTCTATTACCAGGATCTTGCCTGAAAATCTGTCCGATAGTCAAAGAAACTATTTAGTTGATTTACAAATTAAGTTGGATGATTTGTATAAATTAAGAGCAGAAGGTGCTTTTATTAGATCAAGACAAAAGTGGCTTGAACACGGAGAACAAACGTCTTCCTATTTTTTTAAGCTTGAGAAAAATAGGGCTAAACACAATTCTATTTGTCAATTAAATATTGGAGGGGTTGTCTCAGAAAGTCTTAAAGAAATTTCCCAATTTTGCTATAAGTTTTACTCTAATTTGTATAAATCTAAATTTAATCTAGCCGATTTGGACACTTTCAGTAAACATCTTGGTAATGTTAAGACTATTAGTCATGATGATCAAATTTTATGCGAGTCGCCAATTTCTATCGATGAGGTTAAGGACTCAATTTCACAGTTAAAAATTAACAAGTCGCCTGGTAGTGATGGGATAACGGCTGAATTTTATAAGTTATATTCTGAGCTGTTATCTCCGTTCCTCCTGCAAGTGTATACTGAGAGTTTAAATTGCTCTGAGCTTTCTGTTAGTATGAAGCAAGGTGTAATTTGTTTAATACCTAAGCCTAAAAAAGGACATTCTTCTCTTAGACAATTGGAGACCTTAGCCTTCTTAATAATAGCATTTCTCTAATCGTTTTAAATTGGTTTTGAACACCATTATTGATGAAAATCAGTCAGGTTTTATGAAAAATCGTCATATCTTTAATAATATCAGACTTGTTTTTGACCTCATTGATTACTCTGAACTTATTGAGGACGATAGTTTAATTCTGTTTTTGGACTTCTTCAAAGCTTTTGACACAATTGAGCATCCTTTCATTTTTTTTTGTTTAGAGCGTTTTGGTTTCGGGCCTTTTTTTTGTAATGCGATGAAAACGTTGTGTGCTGGGGGAAATAGCTCAGTGAAATTAGGACACAGCACTACACAGAGATTTTTTTTAGAGTGAGGTGTTCGGCAAGGCTGTCCAGCATCCGTATACCTCTTTCTTATTGTAGCTCAAGTCTTTTGTCAATGTATTAAGGAAAGTAAGCTTGAAGGAATTCATATAGCTGGTAGAAGTATTTTAATTAGTCAATTAGCAGACGATACAGCCCTGTTTTTAAAAAATCCGACCCAGGTGCATCAGGCAATTAAAACTATTCAGTTGTTTTCTAATGCTTCAGGTTTGTACCTTAATATTAAAAAATGTGAAATCTTAGATCTAAAAAACTCCTCCCCTTTATCTTTGGATGGTATTCCTGTTAAAAAAGAGGTTAATTACTTAGGTGTTGTCATTTCGAAAAATGAAAAAGATAGAGTTTCCCTGAATGTTAACCCTGCCTCTGAAAAGATTAAAAGAAAATCGAATCTTTGGTTATTAAGGGACTTGTCCCTTAGAGGTAGAGTTCTTCTGTCAAAAGCAGAAGGAATCTCTAGGCTGACCTATATTGCTTCAACTATTCATTTAGACAATAATTCTCTTAATTCTATTGATCAGACTTTATTTAATTTTTTATGGAAGAATCGTGTGCACTATATTCGTAAATCTGTTGTCGTGAATTCTCTTAAATACGGTGGACTTGACTTTTTGGATTTTTCTACTTTAAATAACACCCTCAAAATTAACTGGTTAAAATTTTGTCTGAATAAACCTTCTCTGTGGAATTTTATTCCTAATTTTATTTTTGACCAACTTGGGGGTCTTTCTTTTCTATTAATGTGTGATTATAAGATTGAGAAATTGCCAGTAAAACTATCTGCCTTTCATGCTCAAGCCTTGTTGGCTTGGAAATTGATTTACAAGCACAATTTCTCTCCGCAGCGTTATTTTATTTGGAACAATCGTTGTATTCTGTATAAGCACAAAAGTATTTTTTTGAAAAGCTGGTTTGATAAGGGTATTGCTTTAGTATCTCATTTGTTTAACACTCAAGGGTATCTTATGACTTATGATGAGTTTCTTGTACACTTTAATTTTCCTGTGACTCCCAAGGAATTCTCTCTTGTTTTCTCTGTGATTAATTCTGGTATTACTTCCTTATTTAGAGATGTGGTATTGGTTGACGTGCCCATAGTCAATCTAACTGATACAATATGTGGTAAAATTTGTTTTTCACAGACTAAAAATAACAAATCTATTCACGATCTGTTTTTAAAGAAGGTTACTACCAGGCCTTGTTCTATTGCTTATTGGGCTAATTTTGTTAGAAACCCAAAATGGGAAAGTGTTTGGTTATTGCCTCATAAGTTTTTTGTCACAAACAAGGTAAAAGAAATTTCGGTAACACTTTACAATACGGGTGCACTAATAAGCATTAATTCATGCTTAACTAATGCACAGATAATACTGAATTAATGTGTAACTAATGATTATCTAAGCTATTCATTAATGATTACCACATTAGGAACTAATTAAGAGTCTGTATGGTTAATGTATTAGTTCATACATGAATTGTTATTAATTAAATATGTAATTGTGAATTAATTCCCTAATAACTCATTTTTTTTAACTAATAGTGTTAATTAATATGTTAATTACCAGAATGAGCCAAAGCCTTGTATTTCAACTTCCAGATAATACAGGTACACTAATATGCATTAATACATGATTAATTACTTCATTGTTAGTGCAAATTCATGTGTAAATTACTACAATTACTAAATTACTAGTTAATAACGATGTGCCTCAACAAGTAAAGTCATAACATAATGATACCTTTGCAAATCATTAGCTAATGATTAATTAAAGCAGACAACTGGAAGTTGAAGTGCATAGCTTTGACTAATTGTGGTAATTAACACATTAATTTACACCATTAGTTAATAAAATATGTTATTAAGGAATTAATACACAATGACACATTGAATTAATAGCAATTCATGTATTACTTAATCTATTAATCATATAGACTCTTTATTAGTTGCTGATGCAGTAATCATTAATTAATGGTTTAGTTCTTCATGAATCATACATTAACTCATGATTATCTGTGCATTAGTTAAACATTAATTAATGCATATTAGTGCACCCGTATTGTAAAGTGTTACCGAAATTTCTTTCAAAATCATTCATAGATTCTATCCTTTTAGACATTTTCTTAGTAAATTTAAGAAGGATATTGATGTTACCTGCTCTTTTTGCGCTTTGCAATTGGAAACTGTATCCCACGTCTTTTGGCACTGTAGTTTTGTTAAAAAGTTGTGGTATGACGTCTCTGTGTTTATCACAGAAAAGGTGCTCTCTAATTTTATTTTGCTTTTTGAAAATGTAATTTTCGGATATTTTATTCAGGATAATGTGAATAACGAAGCTTTTGTTATTAATTTGTTTATTCTTTTAGTTAAGTTTCACATCCATAAGTGTAAATTTTCTAACAGAAAACCATGTTTTACAGTGTTTCCTAAAGAATTGGAAAGTTACCTTTGTACTATTCAGAGTAGCGCTAATAGAAAGGCTATTTAAACTGTCCGTTTATGTTCTCTCTTCAAAATATTTGAGTAATGTAAAGGTCTTGCATGTTTTTGAGTGTAAATTTTATTTATTTATTTATTTTTTCTTTCTATTGTTTTTATTACCCTAGCTTTATATTGTCTGTTGTATTGTTCTATATTTGTTGTTTAAAGCATAATATAAAAAAATATATGAAAAAAAAAGAGAAGCTGCGCTGGCTGAGTCCGCTGGCTGAGTCCTCCGGCTACTCTCGAAACGCTCTCGCGGTACTTTGATGGCATACGTCACAGTCATGTGGCGTCGGCGCTGTATCAAGTCGGACAAAATTTCTAACCGGCATGCACTGCTTCAAGTCAGCCAGCTGCGCAGAGCTGCATGAAGTCGAACACACCTATTGTCTCTGTCATGTTTCCTGGTGTCATGTGATTCCCTGGCCCTCATGTGATCCTGCCATGTCTTCTGTGCTGTCATGTTGTCATTGGTTCATTGTACACAGGTGTGTCTTGTTCAGTCATTAGTCTTGTGCAATTAAGCCCTCTGCCATGTAGTAGTAGTAGTAGTAGTAGTATCCTTTTATTCAGACTCATGGTCCATCCATACAAATAAAATAAAATACAATAATACAAATACACAACACAAAGTTACAAATGACTCGTTTTTAAAAGACACTTATACCAGTGTTCCCAAAACTGAGACATGCAGCATGTGGCACTGTACCTAACATTCACCAGCACCACAACAACTTGATTTACAGAATCATTCAGTCGACAATGCCATGCCTTTGTTTTTTGTTTGATCTTGTTTTGAGTATTAATGAACTGCATTTGGGTTCTACAACTTGCCTTCAGTGGACTCCATGTTAAAGATAACAATACTTGACAAGAACACATGGCAAACATGAGGGCTTAAATACACAAGACACACCTGTGCACAATGAAACATTGAACCAATGACAACACAGAACACATGGCAGGATCACATGAGGGCCAGGGAATCACATGACAACAGGAAACATGGCAGAGACATGAGACAAGAACATGAAACCTGAACATGTCACAAAAACCAAAACAACCCGTGACAATATGTGCTTGTTGATCATTTTATTTCAACACCTGCTTGCTGCAGTCTCCTGGGAAGGCCTACACTAAATGTTGGAAGTGGTGGCTGTGGTGATTTGCTCTGATTCAGACAAGAACATCAGTGAGGTCAGGAACAGAAGATGAGTTCTGGTTGAGCATTTACAATGCACACAAGGACATTTCCATTCCTGAATAGAAAAGATTTGCCTTATTCTACTAAACATGTTTGTCTGAGGAGATTGTAAGGCTATATTTTTATTGTTGCGCATCTTCTAGTGAAGGGTGTCAGCCGAACGCAATGGAGTGAACACAAAATATAAATATAAAAATATATGTAAATTATAATATGTGAACATGAAATTAAATATAAATTAAATGGAAATCTACACCTAATTTAACTCTAAATGTAGTGCTAAAAATGTACTTCTTGGTCTATACAAATAAGTAATGAACAGTATCAACCAGTGTAAAAAATATGTAATATTAAGTCAATTAAAACTTGCCTTACGTTTGCTAACATGGAAAAATAGGCTGTTGCAGCATATATTAGTGAACATCTGGTGATATTTAAGTGCTGCATTTACTATTGATCTTCTCAATAGATTGAAAGGTGTTGATTACTACAGTATATCAGGTCTGTTAAGACAGCAGAATTTTAGAAGCTTTCCATGCTTACATTAGCAATTTCCTTTTCCATCATCATTACCCGGGCAACCTCTTGCTTGATATTAGAGTCATTAACCTTCAGACCCCGGTCAGTTTGGATAAGCTTTGCCAAGTCAGTCATGAAGTTCTCATATGTCACACAGGCCTGAGAAAAAAACAAATTGAAAACACATGAGTGCTAAATTCAATACCTGTTAGCATGCATATGTTCTTCATTTATATGCAGTATGACAGCACCCAGATCCTGGCTTCACAGTTGTTTAGGAAGCATTTGTGCACTCTGTGGGAAATTATTCAAGCTAATTCCTTCTTTCCTCTCATCCTCTGCTTTCCTGCTGATTACTGATAATCTTGATAATCTTCAAAATGGAAACAAAAGACAATATCTTGGTCCAAGTGTTTCCATCTGTTTTTCCCATTGAGGCTTCCCCACTTTCTTTATTGCCTTTTTTGTTTCAAATTAACCAGGTCTGAAAAATATTAAAGGGACATAGCACGTATAAGTCTGAACTGAATAACGATCAGTTGATGATAACTAACAGTTTGTATCTGAACACTCCAGTCCAAGAGTGACTGTTTCTCCAAGATAAATGCAAATTGATTAGTTCATTTTAAATTAGTAGACTGTTGGATCTTTTAGGAGATGTACAGGCTTATCTTGCACTTCTAACTTGTCTGGTCTGGGCAAATCCAAAGTAAAGCTGGAGGCAAAATTTTATATTCCTTTCTGAGAGTAAATTGAGGTTGATTTACACTTTCAGATTGATGGCGCAATAATTTCAATCTACTGTACACAGGAAGAACTCAAGGTATGAAAAAGGCCATAGGTTGCTTACATCTGTAACTCCTACATTTGGTCAATGTCATAAATAAGCTTTTGTATTGGATAAATAAAGAGTGAAAGAAAATGTCGGAGAGAGAAAGACACCTAGAGACCCTAATAATCCACCGGTTAGACTTTGTGAACCAGCATGAAAGTTAATTCTGGTCTAAGCTGAATTAACTTAACTTCTGTAGGGAGGGGTTCAGGAGGGGGGAAAAAAAGAGGAAGAAAGAACCAAAAATTAAGTTTCTCAAAATCCACCTCTTCCTGTTTAACAGGCAATTCTTACCTCCTCGTATGGCCCAGTGCACACATAGTAGTCTCTTGAGGAGAGGCCAAGACTTGGCTGGTCGAACTGGCACAGAGAATAAAAACAAGAGACAATCAGCCTTTCATTCTTAATTGAAATTCCAATGCATCCACATGTAATGCCACCCTAATAAACCTGTATCAGTTACTCTAATTAAAAACCTCACAGACCCATGAACAAATATAGCTGCAAGCAGCCATTACTGGGGCCAAGCGCAAAAGCAGACGACAAGACATGCCAACATGGGAGTTTCAGACCAACTGCAGCAAGGAGCAATTAAAGACATTTAAAAATGAATTTAGGCAAAATGGCTTAAAAATTACATATACAGTAACTTATAAAATGATTTAATGGTTTATCACTTTCGACCAATAGGTGGCGAAGTTATGAAATCGATGCGTTGTCATCAGAGTGAGGTGACAATGACACATACAAAGTTTGCTGTCAAAATGTGAAGGTATTGCAGAGATAAAGCCTGAATAGTCATTTTGGCAGCATGCCTCAACTTTGATGCTGTGGTATACGAAAGCGGTTTCGTCTATCCTCACGAAATCCATAACTTTTAGTCGACACGGTCTGGAGATGACACGATTCGATTTCGGTGAAAGTAGAAGTTTGAAAAAGTAGGTATTGAATGAAAATCAAGATGGCGGACAGGAAGTTAAGCCAAATACGCCAAACTTGGTATCTGTGTTCTCGGGGTGACCCAAGGAATCTATTAAGACCAGTGACATTTCAATAGGCAGAAAATTCAAAAGTTATTAGCATTTTTGGAAATTTTATTATAACTTTGACCAAAAGGTGGCGCTGTCTCAAAATCTTTTGAGTACCTTCAGGGCATGGTGCTGGTGGCACATTCTGAGTTTCATAAAGTTGCAGCAATGCATTTGTTAAGTATAGCATTTTACATCACAAAACTGTATTGAAGTCAATGGGAATTTCATGTTTTGTTCTATTATAGCGCCACCAAGAGGCTCAGTCTCACATTTTTTTTATGTGTCTTCAGAGTGAGCCCATACATCTCTGTGTCAATTTTGGTGAAAATATCTCAATTCGCTTCAGAGTTATAGACATTTATGTGAAAAAAAACATCAAAAATGACTGACACGTGACTTTGATTGGATTTTACTACCCCTTAGTATCAATATTTTGACATTTGGGCATTGACATTTAGCCAACGACCTACTGTTGCAAACTTCTGACGGTGGTTTCGTCTCGATCGGACTAGCGGTTTCGAAGATATCCGCAAATGTTTTTTAAGCGCTAAATTACAACGCTGCACAAACCATATGCCGAAACCTGGCAAGTCTGGTATCGTTGGACTCTGCAAGGATTCAGGAGTCTAATGATATGACTCCTGTGAAAATAAGTCAACCACAGCCAGAGTTATAAGCATTTGAAATTTTTATTTTACCACTAGGTGGCGCTGTTTCGAAACTTCTCAGGCTCCTTCAGGGCATCGTACTGATGACCCATACCGAGTTTCGTAACAATTCATTCATGCATTAAAAAAATACCGCATTTTAGTACATAATTCAAAATGGCCGACAGCCAAAATGGCCGAGCTGGGAAAATTGGATATCAGTCGACTCGGCATGACGCCCTGAATCTAACGAGACCACTTTTATGATTTTTGGACAAACCGATCAGAAGTTATGAGCAAAAATAGCCATTTTTCATATCTCCGGACCAGTAGGTGGCGCTGCGCCGAAACGCAGCATATAGCCTCAGGTCATGCTTGTGATTACATGTACCAAATTTGGTCTGAATGCGATAAAGCGTTGCGGAGATACAGCCTTATGACTGTTTTCGCAAGTGCTACGTAAAATTAATTTGCGCGGTATTCGAAAATGGTTAAGCAAATCAACTTGAATTCCATATCTTTTTGTCGGCACTGCCTGGAGATGATCTGGTGCAATTTTGGTGAAAATCGGACAAACCGTCTAGGACGAGTTCGCAAAAGTAGGTTTTTTGAACAATTCAAAATGGCGGACATATTTTTATGACGGAAAATGACGTCATAGGGTGCGATTGAATCGTCATGAGCTCAGGAATCAGAGGAAAAAAGAATTTTGTTGATAGCCCTTGCCTTACGGTCCAAAAGTTATTAGCATAATTTGAGTGAAACTTTGGACAGGTGGTGGCGCTAGAGGCAATGAGTTAGAGACACCAAAATTGGTGTATTTAATGTTGGGACTGTCCTCTATCAGAATGTCAAACCAAAACAACTTTCCCGCAAACGGTTCTATGGGCTGCCATAGACGCCCAGTCGGAAGAAGAAGAAGAAGAAGAAACGGAAGAATAAGAAGAACCAGAACCAGAGGTGTCAAAAGTATTCACATTCGTTACTCAAGTAGAAGTATAGATACTAGGGTTTAAAAAGACTTCTGTAGAAGTTGAAGTATCAACTCAATCTTTTTACTCAAGTAAAAGTGTAAAAGTAACTGGTTTCAAAACTACTTAAAGTATAAAAGTAAAAGTAATGCAAGGAAAAAAAATGCCATTAAGGACAAAAGCTTAGGCCGCACCACAGGGGCCTATAGTGCACTACCACCTCCTTAGGGACTGTTCGGTATTTATGGAAAGGGCCACCGGAGGAAAATAGGGGAGGGTCATGTCTTTTTATTCTTTGTTGAGGGGAGGGTCATCCAACTTTTTTAGTCTATAGGGGAGGGTCACCCAACTTTTGTATTCATCAAAACAGCTACATTTCAAAGTGGCTTGTTTGGTGCATATTTTTTCCATGTAGCTTTATGTAGCTCTCTCGGTCTCGGCCCCCCATTGCTATCTATGGTCTGACCCAACAAAAATCCAGTTTGGCGCTGTTTGACAGTGCGCGCGCACTTCAGTACGCGCTCAGAAAAAGTGTATTAGAACAGAACGCCAAAGTAATGTTTACCCGGCAAAGCTTTAAAGCACGAGCAAATAATGAACTTTTGTGATTGCGAATAAGTGCAGTGTCCTGTGAGTGTTACTCTACCGCTGCATTAACATGTGATGTGAATGTACGTCGAGTTTTACTGTATTGGGACTGAGGCGCCAGAACTGCAGCTGATATAATGTGCGCTGTAGCACGATACTACCATATTTCAGTTTCCATTCTTATTGTGTTTCCACAACAATGTTAGTGAGTAAATCTACTGAAATTGCCCCCATAACAGTGGAGTGTGATGTGTTGGACATAGGGCTACCACATTTTTAAATTACTATTAGTATTATTTGAAGTTAACATAATAAATACATAGACCTACACCAAAAACACTAGTTGAGGATAAATTCTTTAAAATTGGGCAATTCCAGCATTATGGATGTGACATTTGCTGTCAAAACTTGAAATATAAATTCTCAGAAAATGCATTTAATACTGAAACGCCTGTTTATATATTCATACTCCCTTACATGGTGCGATTTTTTTTCTGTTTTACGAGCTCGCAGATTATTTTTTTCACTCGGGAGAAATTGCGTGGAAATCGGTTGTGCTCGCATGTTGTGGCTCATGTCGTGTGCTAGGAAGATACGAGCCGAGCCGAACCTTTCGACCTCACGATAATTTTTAAACATGTCTAAAAAGTTCGGGAGCTGTAGGCTTGAATTCGTGAGGTGTGTGCGCTGTGCGGTTGAATGAGCCGATGTGTCGATCTATCTAAAGTTTGACCAACCAGGAGCTGAAGAAATCCACAGAAGAAAGACGAAAATGGCAGCGCCACCGCGAATTTGGACTATTGAAAGGGAAGCCTACTACTTTATTATGATTTTAGTATCATAATGATTAATAAATGCATGCACAATTATCAGTGAACTTGATAAATGTTGCAGATATGTTTTAATATGCACAAACAAATGCCTTTCAACTTGTGTGCAAAATTCAGAATTTAATAAATGTGCAGCAATTTGTACAAATAGAGTCTGTATGTGTGTTGTAGCCATAATAAGCGCATTTAATTTCATATTTATTATAATGGGGTTTTTTTCCATCTATGTTGATTATGAAAAGTATAGCCACACAATATATCGGGAGACATGGCCAGACATGATTTTGACCACTTCATTAAGTGTTGTTTTGTAGAAAGCCTTTCTTTAAAGTGAATTTCGTTTTGTATAAATTGTATCTTAATTTTAATAAATTTTTCATCAACCAATTGCCTGGATTTAATTAATAAGAAGGAAATATAGCTGGATGGATTTACAAATGCACATCTTGATTGTTGCATGCACACATATGTTGAAATAACGACATAACCACAACAACCATCTAATTGTCCTGGTTTGAGACTGTTAATACACATAACAAAATATTATTTTTATTTTTTTCATGTTCGCATTTATAAGGGTAAAAAAATGTTACGGACGTGACAGTTCTCCGTTACGGACATATGACCGCTCTGAAAGTGACTTTAAAACTTTCACAGAGACCTCAAACAGAAAGCAAAGACTTTCTTTAAAGTGAATTTCGTTTTTTATTACTTGTATCGTAATTGTAATCAATGTTTCATCAACCAATTGCCTGGATTTAATAAATAAGAAGTAAATATAGTAGAAAATCATCATGACACGGAGGCGCCGGCGCGTGAACTGGACTCTTGTCTAATAAATTAACCGAAACTCAGCGTAATAGCCTGTAGTAGGCTACTTGCCTCACAGACCTGATAAATATATAGAAAGCTTGACATGTATACTTTTTAACAGAACAATTCAAAACGAAAGAAAACAGACAGACTGCTCTCTGCTTATGTAATCCGAAATGTGCATTTCTCTCTGGCGCTTTCACTACTGCGAAGATCGCGAGTCAGCATCGTCACCTTTATATTTGCCGCCTACACTGACAAAGACTTGTTTATTAACAAACAATTAAAATGTCCCCTTGCTATATTATTCATAATCGTTACTTTTGCCGGTTCTTTGTGGAAGCTTTAAGATACTTTATTGGCAGTGCCACCCTTACATTTTACATGAACGCGTCACCACTGCATCAGCACCGAAAACATGATTTTTTTTTTTTCAAATCAAAAATCGTGATACGAACCGAATTGTAGGTTTGGTCTATC